CAGATTTGGGGGACCCTAGTTTGTTCCCCATCAACCCCATAATATTTCCTTTCTTTTTCTCCTCTCCTTTTTTCCGTTTAAGTCAAGGAGGTTGTTTGTTCAATCCCCCACGAGCTCATTATTTTTCATCTAATTTATCTCTTAACTTTCTCACCTATCCAAGACGTTGTGGGTTCAGTCCCCACTCTCCACATTTACTTTCTCCTTTATTTTTCTCCTAACTCTCTCATCCATTCAAGAGGTTGTGGATTTAATCCCCACTCACCACATCTATTTTTTCTTGCATTTTTCTCACGAAATTTTTATGAAATTTTCATTTAGTGAAGTCATGGGTTAAATCCCCAATGACCTCACATTTTAAAAAAGAATTCAAACGAAGCTCATTTTTTGAAAGTTGGCCGAGACTAAAGTTTCCAGCGGGCTGGAAATTTAGTCTCTTCCAATCCATTTTTGTCTTAATCTTTTGTTGATTTTTTTGGTAGCTTTCATGTAATGATGCCTTGGCTTCAATCCTTAGAGATTTGACTTTTTTTACATTCATTTTTCGTTGCATTTTGCACCATTTTGTTTGGCCTAACCCAACCTACCAAATGCTGGAAATTTGTTCACTATTTTCAGCTTCTTTTTATCATCATTCATATGTTAATTCTTAAGGCATTTCGTGGATCATTTGGTGGATTTTTAAGTGTTCTCTTTTTATTATTACATTCAGCCAAAAATTACCATTACATCCAGAAACATTCACCACATTTACACCTCATGATTTACACAAACATTCGCACATAAAATTCAACCATAAAAACATATCATTTTTCACATACTTTCGATTGACATAACTTAACATGCTTACGATTCCAAACACATAATCATGAACACATTATCACGAAAATCACACGTCATACTTAAACTACGAACAAACGTACCAACAACATGATCTCTAACCTAGTTCACATTGAGATCAATGGGATAATTGGGACAAGGAGTTCCACGAGAACGAGAACAACCCTAGTTTCAAGATTCGTTGAATTCATGGGAAAGAAATTCTCTTGCAGAAAGGAGTTCAGGAGAGAAACTCATACCTGATTTAAATGTTGTTCAACCCACGACTTGATGCCCAAAAACTTTCTCCAAATTCACGTCCAAATCCCAAAAGTCCAACACAAACCCGACGGAACTTTGATTTACGTTTTTGGTTAGCTTGTTTGTTTATATTTTTCGTGAAAGTTCTTCAAGTGTGAAGAACTTTTGTAGCTTTTCTGTTTTTGTGTTTTGGTTAGGCAGAGAGAACGTGAAAGAAACAGAGAGAAAGGCAGATCATGAGAGTGGATGAAACGTGAAAAAGAGAGAGGTTCCTTACGATTAGGATTGTAGTTGAGACTTAGTCAAAATAAGGTTTGTTCAAATGTTTAAATCTGATTTTTTTTTTGAATTTTATGTTAAATGAACGTAATGCCATTACAAAAAAGCAGAACTTAATGTTGCTTCCGTCGAGGTTCGAACCAGCGATGTCCCCATCGCGAAAATGGGTCCCTCCGGGTCAACATTACCCAAATAGCCCCACTAATTAATTAATAAATTAATTAATAATAATCTGATTTTCCTTTTTTATTAAATCAGCATTTAAATATTAATTAATTAAATTAATTCACCAATACGAATAATCAAGTTAAATCATTGCTACCACCTAGGTTCGAACCTGGGTGGATCAAGATTTTGCTCAATGGGCAATTTCGGCCCTTTCTACTCAAAATGTCCCTACACCTTATTAATTAAATAATTAATTACATATTTAGGGTAATTACGATACTTCCCTTAGCCTGGAAAAAGACCATTTTACCCCTAGACCCTCAAAACTTAAGATTTCCTCCTTTTTAAGTCTGGTAAAGATTCATCCGAGTAAATCTTCATATTCGGGAGCCCTATATGGTTGGACCCAAACTTTCCTAACTCAACTAATTCCACAAGTTAGTGGGCTTAGATGTCGCAAAGGTTCAGAGGTCTAGTTCTACGCGCACCAATCCGTGTGAACCCGTTCTAATCATAGGCATTTAGACACATTAAGCATTACTTAGCATATCCATTTTTAGGGTTGTTACAATATGAGTCCTATGACGTATTATGTTTCTATTGGAATGGATCGGGTGACTTGTAGTAGACTTAGTTGTTCATCATTGCTACTTGAATGTGATTGTACACGTGTTAAGATGATGATATGTGTGTCTTGTTTTGGTAAACCTATGTCCCTCTACTTAATACATGAAGAATATGAATATGACTCTTGACTTAGTAGGCTTAAGCACCTTTGTCATGTATATGTATGTATGATTAAAATATTACCTTGAACATGGTTAAGAGGATCATTAACTTGGAACCTTCAAACTAGAAAGAATGTTATGATATCCTTGAAGTTGAAAGCCATAATGGTATTTTTCTTGTGCGAACGATGGACTTAGGGATAGGTTGTACGGAACGGCATTAAACCATCACTAAGAAAGTCATTGAGCTATCCTCATTGACCATTGAGTGGCAGTCCTAGTAGGCCCATCATTGATAAAGTGTATTGTGATTTGGTAGTGACTAAAATATGGTACCTCTTCATATGCCCTTGTGATTGAACTTACTTTATGAGAACATCGCTAGCACCAAGTGAGTATGCTTGGGAGTGACTCTACTTAAGTTGAGACTATAGTATAAAGAAACCCTTGATATTCCTTAACCATGTGCCTACATGGGATGTGTCCTAGTTCTATTTTTGGCAAGTGGAACACCTTCCATCAAAGTAGGGTAGACTCTGAATTCCATGCCTAACTAGTATGGTCTATGTAGGTTAATGCCTATTCTCATCATGTGGGATGCATTTTAGTATTGGAGAAGTTTTACAAAGTGTAGGTAGTGGAATGGGATGTTATATAGACATTGCATGAGTAGCTTTGAAGATGCTAGGATGAGGGTTCCCTGGGTCTTCCAAGACCATTATGTGAAAGTCCTTAATGTTGAATGTCTCTTAAATGGATTAATTAACATATTTGACTTAAGTTAATGCATGTAAATTAAAAGGTACTTATCTAGAGTAGCTTTAAGGATTGCTTAGGTAGGCTTGAAGAGGGTGTATAGGCGGTCTCTTCATGCCTTAGTCAAGAGAGTCTTGGAGTAATTCTAGGTAGGGAGTCTAATGATGAAATGGGAATAATCTTATCTTAGGATGTCTTGAGGATCACTTAGGTGTGTGTGAAAGGGTTGTATGGGCGACCGTTTCATATCTTACTTGAGTGAGTCTTAGGAGGACCTTTGCTAGGAGATATATGTGCTTATATGGTTGGAAGTGATGTTGATGCTATAATGTGGATTACTTGAAATGTGACTTATGTGAATATGTTGACTTGAAGTGGTTGTTTATACTTGTGATGAGGTTTTGTATCAAAAAGAGCATGAAAGTATATCATAACTCAAATGTTCTTTTAGAATGATTTTATTGCATGTTACCATACTTAGTGCATTCTAATGTACTAATTCCATATGCTGCCTTATCTCTAAAAGTGTAGGTGGAATTTGAGAGGAGTCATTTGAAGTGAAACTTGGAGTTAGCATCCATTCAAGCAAGTTGTGGTATGTCCTCAATTGATTCAAGGACATAGTCATGTTTAGCTTTTCTAGTTATGAGACATTGTATTAGACTTTGATATTTCCTATTATGTTAGTGTATGGGTTGTGACCCAAGATATTCATGTGTCTAAGATGGCTACAAGAGACTTAGCCTTTTCCTATGATTTTCCATAAAAGAGATTTTGAAGATTTTGAAGTATTATTCAATTGTTGTGAAAAGTTTTAATTCCGTAATACTTTTCATATATACATATGCGATGAATGATGTCTCAGTGCTTGTGCAAGACCTTCGAGAGGTCGAGTACGCTGTGGGGCGACTTGAAGGATGACTTATCTACTAGGATGTACTTTGGGTCGTGACAGGTTCTCCTCTCTGTTGTAGAGAAGATAATTAACTCAGCGTGATAAAACTAGTACATAATCTTCATTTTGATTGAACCTTAACAAAATTTGTAAGAATATTAAACAATTTCCCTTGGTACCAATATGTTTCGATAAAATTGACCTTAATACCTTAAAATCTGGTGCACCATGGGATAATTTCAACACCATTGCTTGATGTAATCCCTCTTCAATCGTAAAGTCTTGCTTTTCCTCCATTGAAAACGTGAAAGTAGGTTCTCCATAAATTATTTCGATTGATTTTACAATTGTTTTTCAGTTACTTAGGGAAGATTGTTTAGGATTTATAGTATTGGAATTTAAAAGGGTGGCGTATGTGGTGGTTTGGGGTGGTGGGACGGGTAGAACACCCTTGAAAGGAGGTCGTCCAGGGCCTTAGTAGCCATGGATGTTGCCTACCGACCTAGGGTCAAAATGTTGCTTGATAACCTCCATGTTTTTGGTGGTTGATTGTTGTTTTTACCTTAAAAAAATAAAGCTACATTTAAGCATGAAGCATTGGTTATTCTCATCATTCTTTTAGAGCAGGCAAAATAGAGGTAATTGAATCTGGTTCATATGCATTAGGATAACGAATAATAAGTAAAAATAACTAAATCATCAATTTAGTTCTACACTTAAATATGATAATTATGTAATGGAAAAAATTGGTTACTATTAATTAGGAAAGAAAAAACCCAAGAGGAAAAGCTTGTACAAAATAAGGATTGAGCAAAAACAGAAGTTGCAAATGAATACGAACTAAAATCAAAATAACATAGATCATATCTTATTTATAACGAAGTACATAAAGCACTTGTATAGAATAATTACACGTCAAACATGGTAAATCAAATTCAAATACTATAAAAGATTTACAATTTCTACTCCTAACAGAAAGTATCAAAAACTATATGCATGCCTCGACTTAGGTCACAAACTTCATATAATGAGGTGGAAATCACAAAATATAAGTAGGTTTCTTTCTAATAGATTGAAAGTAGTATATAATTTCATCAAGGAGTAGCAGGTATGTAAGTTGGAGAAATTGAAGGAAGAGTTGGTCTACGTAGTTTTGGAATTTCAGGCTTTGGCATAGGTGGGACTTTTAGCTTCGGAAAGTCAGAGTCTTTTGACTTTGGTAGTTCTGGGATTTCAGAATTTGGCATAGTTGGTAATTTTGTCTTTGGTAATTCTGGGATTTCAACTGCTAGCATAGTTGGTACTTCTTGCTTTAGATGTTTAGGGACTTCTGTCTTTGGTAGTTCTGGAATTTAAGATTTTGGAATAGTTGGAACTTTTAACTTTGGAAGCTAGGGGACTTTTGGCTTTGGTAGTTCTAGGATTTCAGGCTTTGGCATAATTGGAACTTTTAGCTTTGGAAGCTCTGGGCTTTTGGCAGTTTTGGGACTTCAGGCTTTGCCATAGTTGGTACTTCTAGCTTTGGAAGTTCTTCTAGAATTTCAAGCTTTGTCATAGTTGGTACTTCTAACTTTGCTAGTTCTGTGATTTCAAGCTTTGTTGTAGTTGGTAGTTCTGGCTTTGACGTAGTTGGTACTTCAGGATTTGGCATTGTTGGGACTTTTAGCTTTAGAAGCTCTAGGGCTTTTGGCTTTGGTAGTAACAAAATTTCAGACTTTGGAATAACTAGAGGAAGCTCAAGTCTTTGGTGATACTGGGATTTCAGGTTTTTTCAAGGGAGGAAACTCAGATTTTAGTACAGGTGGAATCTTAGGCTTTGTCATAATAGAAATCTCGTGTTATGGTATAGCTAGGATCTCATGCTTTTGCAAAAGGTGTTGGTATAGTTGGTGTTGGTAATGTATTAGCATTTTAATATTAATATATAATATTAGTTTGCTTAGTTTTGGAGATTAAAATATTGATGTTTGATTGACTTTCTCATATGTTACAGAAGTAATGACAATTACTTCTTGCTTAGTGCATTACTCCATTTTTGAGTTACTGCATAACATTACTTCATTTGGAGTTATTGCATAGCATTCATTTGGAGTTATTGCTTAGCATTAGTCCATTTTCTAGTTAATGCAAATGTTATTGATTCTTGTGGCATGTCACCAATGGTTGGATTTCACCATTCAGCCAGCAGAAACTTTTGTAACTTCTTATATATTATTTTCTTTCATTATTTCTCCATTATACCTTGTAACTCCTAATGCCATTTGTCTTTACTATTTACCACCTCGTTATCTTCTTAGGCCCGTTTGGATGGGCTTAATAAAAGCAGCTTTAAAAAAGTACTACGTGCTGAAACTTATTTTTAAAATAAGCAGTTATGGCAAATAAATGCTGATAAACAGCTTTTTAAATCAAAATGTCTGAAATACCCTTAAAAGTTGTTAACATAATAAAAGTTAATTAATTTATATTTTACAGCCATAAATAATTATATTTTGCTATCATTCACATATTTCTTTCTCATCACAAATTATTTATAAGAGAAATAAAAAATTATTATAGATTTTAAATATATATATTTTGAATAGATTAAAGAACGATTTAAAATTTTATTTTAGTTTCATCCATAGATAATAATAATTGTCTATCATTCACATATTTCTTTATTGTCACAAATTATTTATAAGAGGAATATAAATTTTTATATAAGTTATGTGTGCAACTTATTTTACATTTTAATAATATATAATTTGAATAGATCACTCCAAAGATTTAAGATTTATTTTATTTTCATTCATTAGTAATAGTAATTGTCTATCATCTACACGTGAAAAGGGAAAAATAGAAGAAAGAGATGTTAGGGTTATGTGGGTAATAATTTGGATATTGTATAAAAATATTAAGGGCAAAAAGGTAAAAATGTGGTCAACTTAAAACAGCTTATAAGCTGGAAAAAAAAAAGCACCCCTACCCCAGCTTTTAAGTTTTGGCTTAAAATAAGTTTTTTTTAACTTAAAATAAGTTATTTTGAGTATTGGCAAACAGCTAAATAAGTCAAAAATCAACTTTTAAGTCAGTTTGACCAGTTTTTAAGCTGAGTCAAACAGGCTCTTTATTCATTACTAGGAAGTCTTTCTCAATTATAAATAGTGGTGGTCTTCATTGGTTTAGTACACAAGAAAATAGAGAGTGCAAAAAGTTAGTCAAAAAGAGAGTTCTTATTAGTTGAAGGGAGATGTTCTATATGTGGAGCTTCGGACTCAACTTTTGTCTAGAGTTATTGAGTTATACTTTGTGTTAAGACTATTGTATCCTCGAGGGGACGAGTAAAGAAGGACTACTGCTGGACCGGTGGAAAACATTTGTTTCAGTGGGCTTGAATCTCCTTAAAGAGAGCGAAATATTCGCGTCTCGGCCTGAAGAAACTTTTATTTCTACATTTTATTTTCAATTATAATCTTGTTTATTTTATTATATTGTAATCTTTTCACTAACAGTTGGGACCTCTGCCTTTTTTATGGCTAGAGGAACTTGATTAGTCTTTGGCACTTCCAAAACTTCTGGCTTTTTCCTAAGGAAACTCGAGTTTTGGCATTGTTGGAACCCAGGCTTTTGCATAGCTTGAATCATGGGTTTCGACACATCTAGAATCTCATACTTTGTAAAGTCGATAATTCAGGATTTTGTATAGCTAATATTTTAGGGTTTGACAAATTTGGTAACTCTGTCTCAGGGAAAGTTGGTAGCTTAAGCTTTGGAACAATGGGGATCTTAGGCTTTGGCGGAGTTTGGATTTCAAGATTTGGCAAGGTTGTAAACTTGGTAGATCTGGTTTAGGCATCTTAGGGACAGGCGTATCTAGGAGGTGGAGTACACCGCACCAGTTATGATCCATGAATGAAGAATACATTAAGAAATGCAAGTAGTAAGAGGGAAGATAAGTGGTAATGTTGACCCATTTTTATGAAGATGGTAAGAAGAATTGGCATTGGTGACACCTTAATAACTTAATGTACTCTATACCCAATTAATTTATTGGAAAAATTAGTAAATTAGTCAAAATAAATAACATATTTAGTAAAAATATCCATACTTTATAAATATTAGCAATAATGTCAAAAATGTCATTATTTTAAAAAATTTATGTGTCTCAATTTTCTTCCTATTTTATCTCTCTTTTTCAATTAATTCTATATATCCTTTTTTTAGAAAAAAAAATCATTCTCTCTCATATTTATCTTTTCAAATTGTTAATTCTCTCTCCCATTTAATTTTTTTTCTCTCTCATGGTTATCTTTTCTGATTTTTCTCCAACATTCAAGTTGCAAATATTTTTTTGCCATATATTTTGGTTGTTTTTTTAATCCAAAATTGAATGAACAAGAATCCCTTTGATTAAGGTATCTCTAATCTTTATCCTATTTTCAGATTTCTTTTCTAATTTTTTATTTTTGTTTAAATCTTAAAAAATATTGTTTGTATTTTTCAATTTCCGTTATGATTTACTCTCCAATGGCTGAATCCAAGAGGCTTACTAGAGGTATTCATCTTAATCAACCAATTTCTGGTGATTTTTCATCCTTTAATTTATTTATTATTTAACAAATAGTGTATAATGTATGATCCGCTGCTAAAATGAGGGAAGAAAGAGGGTAAGAACATTTGCAAGACTCATTGGTGTGCAAAACCTTCCTCAAATTCAGAACGCAAATGTAGAATCTTTGTCTACTCGTGAGGATCTTGAAAAAGATGACGAAGATCGGATAGTTGTCGAACATTTTTCTATTAGTTTATTTTGTATTTATAGTTCTTTTTTAGAATTTGGTATGCTTTCTTTAATTTGTATTCAAATCACTATGTATACTATCAATATTTATATTTATTAAAAATTTCATGTTGCATGGTTTATGAATCTTGTATTTGTCCCTAATTTGTATTCATCCAAATGTATGTCAACTAGTTATGTATTTTATTTATAAGAAGAACAACTTTCTATTAGTTTATTTGTATTCGAATGAATACGACTTAGAAAAGGAAACAAGATTTTGAAAAGAAAAATAAATACATAGTGAAAATATATACGAATACAAATGTATTTCTTAAATAACTACATTTTATTTGACATACCAATTGGAATGAATACAACTTAGAAAAGGAAACAAAATTTTGAAAAGAAAAATAAATACATAGTGAAAATATATACGAATACAAATGTATTTTTTACATAGCTACATTTTATTTGACATACGTATTGGAAAGAATACAAACTAACAAAGGTATGTCAACTGAATTTGATATTTTTTTCTAATTTGTATTTATTCTAAAGGTATGTCAACTAGTTATGTGTTTTATTTAAGAATGAGTACACCAAATATTCAATTATTTCTTTTCAATTTTTATTTCATTCACTTTTTCATCATACTAATTTTTTGTATTTTATATATTATTATACAAAATTCTAAATAAAAACTAGAATAAATAGAAATACAAAAGAAATACATATTGAAATAAATACATACAAGATTTTTGAAGAAAAAAATAACTATATAAGGAAAAAATATATGAAAATACAAATATATTTCTTAAATGACTATATAGATAAATTCGGCATACCTATTGAAATGAATACAAACTAATAAAAAACTATAATAAATATAAATAGAATATATTGTGGAATGAATATAATTTTAAAAAGGTAAAATTCTGGAGGAAAAAAAACAAATTTATATTTAATTTGAAAATGTAACTGATGAAAAAATTAAGGATGCTTACCTTTTTTTGAAATATTCCCCCCTTAATTTTCTCCTTTTTGTTATTAAATAATTATATTCTTTAAATAAAAATAAATAATAAAAATATACATAACAAACTAAAATGACATTTTTACTAAATATTAAAATTGTTGCTAATGAGTCCTCTTAAATGCTAAAATATTGACATTTTAAAAAAATTCCCTAATTTATTTTTTGTTTATTTTCTGATTTTGGACTTTTAAAAAGGAACAAAGTGGGTCATGGGTCTCTTTGGGTTTTTAAAAACTTAGAAGTATACTTTTTAAAGTGGGGTCATGGGCTTGTTTATTGTTTTTAAAACTTGGGAAAAATGTATATCTTTACAAAAATATATTATAATCCCAACACATTTTACCTAATTTTATAATTTAAAAAAAATAATTAAAAAAAAAAATATATATATATATATATATATATATAAAGGGCACCTTTTCTGAAACCTTGTTTCGACGTTTCTTCTTCTCGAGTGCAAGGCCTCTTAATCTTCCCCTTACACCTCTATACAAGTGTAATCATCTATTCTGTTCCCCATACAATTCTCAACCATTAACTTATACAAACTTTTCTTCCATTAACTTATACAAACTTTTCAACCATTTCATCATCCTAAACGTCTCTTAAATCTTCATCTGTTTTATTCAATCTTTTTTTCCAAGTTCAAAGCTTTCATCTTTGGTAAGTTGAATCTTCTGTAATAGTGTTTTCGGTAATTTTAATCGTATTTGGTTGTATATTTTGTTATAGTAGTGTAATGATGTAATGATTCCTTTGTACGGACTGTTTTTACTCATGTTCTTGTTTAGGACGAACTTTTCTCCATATTTCATGAATATTTGTGGTCTCTAATGACGTTTTTGTTTGGATATAAATATTTGACCTATGTGGTTTCTTAATTTTTAAAAATAATTTATTTTTATCTTGCCTATTGATTTTGAAATTTTGTCTTTTGTTGTGGATTGTTTTCTTCTCCGTTGTATTTGTTTGATTTTGTTGGTCTTGTTTTTTCTCATTACATCTGTTGTTACACGAAGTACATTGTTTTTCATTGCACTGTTTTGTTAGATCGCCTTGTCATGACCCAATTTAGAATCATGACCGGTGCTAAGGATAAGAGTTCCAAAGCAAGCCTTAACAAAAAATCTATAGAAAATCCGATAGAGTTTCCTCTGTTTTTGGGCTTATCCTGAACTTACTTGTAACATAAATCAATAACACAACCAACTAATCATCTTTTTCCCACCTTATTCATCAATAAACTATTCGAAGAGTAAACATACTATTTCTAACTCCAAAACATAAGTCTCATACTAGACACCAGTTTGCAATACGAAAGAATACTCATAACTTCTAATAAAGAACTAATTGTGGAGCGACTCTAAGAATTTCAACAAATGTCTATAACAACTAATAATCTTGTTATCCACGCGAACAAGTGTGGGACTCACTGAAAATTATCAACTCGAAAGCTCTAGACCTTACCAAAGTCACCTGTATTTCTGTAAAAAATATAGTGAGGAGTGAGACTCTAGCTCAATGAGTAATAATACTAAACCACAACCATTTTAACGAGGGAAAAGTCAAAAACATGCTAGTGTGATAGTCATAATGATGAAATAATGATCTTTCAATCTTATATGCCTCATATAAGCATAATCAGTGTAAATACATAATAGCAAAATCAATAAAAGAACATTTTCATATAAAATCTTATTTCTAGGAGGTTTCCAAGGACGTTACATGTAATTAGAGTGGTCTTCTCTTTAAGAAGTAATCAATAATAGTGAAATCCTCGTAATGGAGTTAAATATTCATATCAGTAGATCCCTACTCGAGGGATATCAGTAACAGAATACTAGTTCCACATCCCACTAGCAAGGGCTTTATCAAAAATCAATAACTACAAGGTGCACCACGTCTAACGATCCCGCCGTCAGCTACGGGATTCATCAAGGTCTACTCCCATTCATATTCTTCTTGTAATCACTAAAAGCATTTCAAAATCAAACAGATCAAATCATATCATTTCAAAGTTCAACCATCATCTGTCAAAATACTATTTCTCAAATAAGTGTAAAACCTTTTAAATAACAGAAATCATATCTTGTAAAAAATAAGACCATCTCAAATTAAATAATCTTTTCAGTATCATATCCAGTAAGAGACTTGTCCTACAGGCAAGTTCAAAACGTTCAATAACACATTTACTTTATAAACCATGTGAAAATCATGCAATTTATAAAACATCAATTGTGGTAGCATTACTACTCACATTACTTGTGCTGAAAATACCAAGCTCGCCACTTGAGTATCCGTATGAATCCCTTTGGTTAATCTATAATCACATTCATACTAATTTCGTATTAACCTCGTCATACATGCTATTTCATAATAAATTAAAACACCCAGCCCTAGAAGTTCCATGAATGACTCAAAATCTGACCAACCACCTAATTGGTGCTTTAATTACACAAAGCAACCTCCCTTTGATTAATTTCACATTGTAATAAACCAACATAACCTTGCTGCCCATCAACTTTTACTTCATATTTGCCGAATAGCAAGGTTTATAGTTCAAATTATTAGTGCACTCCTTCAAATCATGAGAATTTGACAATTCCCTCTATTTCTTTTAAATCACGATTTCTCAAACTCTCAACCCCAGTTCTATAGCTATGGGAAATTCAGATGAAATCTATAGCTAAGTTCAGAAGCTTACCTTCCTCTTCCGCTTCTTTCTTTATTTAAGAATCCAAGCTTATCAATTCTCTTCCTCGCTCCTTCTCTCTTCCAAATCTATTAAATTGCCATGGTGGAAACAAATTTCTCCAGTGATATGGAACTTGAGGATGTTGGCTTGTTCTTGCATTTGCTTTTCCTTTTTTACCATTACTACTCACACAAATAACTAACAAGTGAGAACCGACAACAATGATGAACGTAGGAAGGAAACTATTTTTTTTCTTCATTTCTCTCTGCTAAAAAATGCAGCGTGGCTGCCAAGGGCTTTTAGCCCAGTCTCTTTTCTTTTCCTTTTTTTTAACTAAAGACTCGTTTACCCTTAACTAAAATTATGGGGTATTACAATCCCCTAAACTTTGATCGACTTCAGTGACGTTTTCTGTCAATCACATTGTTGAGTTCTGTTGTATCTGTTATTTATTTTGCATGTTTTATTATAGGTTTACTCTGGTTATGGCTAAAACTAGAGGTGGGTTTGTTAAACGATCTGTTCCTAAGCCTTCTAAAAATAAGAAAAGAAAGGCTGAAGAAATTTCAAGATCTTCAATAAAGAAAAAAATTGTAGTTGAAGAACCCAAGTCTAACTCGGGTTCTCATAGGATGGTTGAAATCAACAACTATGAGGATAGTAGTGCCCAAGACAAGTTCATAAGATTTTGTATGATGCTAAAACGAAAAATAACTTAGACCATCAATAGAGGGGAAGCTAACTTTGACTACATCAGATTCTAAGTATTATGCAACAGAGAATGCTTCTAGTCACAATGGAAAGAGGGAAAATATTTAAAGTTTCTAAATTTAACCAATGTAGAAAAAAACAAGATAGGTTAGGATTTTACAATAGACAACTATCAAATGAAAATATGCATGCTATTATGGAGACTTAGACGAACGACGACTTATTAACACAATGGACATATTCGACTTGACAAAAATTCCAGCACTACAAGATCCTAACAGACAAGTTCAAAGCCAAATGGATTCATTTAGATAGGACTACAATCTTCAAGAAGTAATCTGTACAACTCGTGTTAAGGGAATGCTAGATGGAGTCTCTAAGGGGTTTTGAGATTTCTTTTGAAAGACAATGGGGCTAACAACAGGACATCGTACATTGATGACTATTGCATATCTTATGGACTAAATAATAGGAAAACCATACTAAAAACGAGAGAAACAACCAAACTAAACAAATTCTAGTGAAACCAAATAAAGATATTAGCACATTACGATCATAAACAAATTATATAACACCCAACTAATGTTCACATGTTCATAAAATGCTAAAGAACTAAGCTTAGGCAGTTATTTGAATGAAACAATAAGAACAGCTACTACAATTAAAACTAGACAAGGAATATTTCACAACCCACTTCATCGTATTAATTTTGGCACGCCTTAACTGAAAACAAGCTATCACTCACAGGACGACTTGTGTTATAATTCATATCAAAGTATAAGATGTCCCACACTTTTCATTAATTTAATGTAAATCAGAGGGAAACGGAAAATTCCGCAACTTAATCAAGATTCAAGAATTTAGACGCAAGAGAGATAACATTTATTCTACTTTGAAAAATGTGAACAACACAATTACACGAAGCACATCAAATTGCTAGCTAACAAATCAGATAATTATTGAACTTGCTAATGCATTTTTTAGATTAAGGATATTCTTCAGGAAAAATCACTATCCATATCAATCCTTTTGTGGAGCATCAAACAAGGGTTTTGACGTCAAGATTCAACTTTGAACTCGAACAACGACTCGAAGAAGAACGGAAGCAGAAAACAAAAGATAACCTTAAAATCTATTTCTCAGACGATTTTTAGATTTGTTTTTTGGATGTTCATCGATGTAGATCGATCTTAAAGGATTCTGGATATTTATGGATGATTTTTGTATATTTTTTTCCCTTCTAAGGATCAAATGGTACCCTTTTATAGCAAAAATCATAACCTCTATTGACCTAGAATTCAAAATTTTTGAATTCTTGGGAAGCCAAGTTTGAACAGAGAAAATAAAATGAGGCAGAAGAAAAATCTCTGAAGAATTGCCTTTTCTGATCGATTTGAGAGGTTGAAGTGACTGATGTACCATTTTCCGGCGGCCCAGAGCCGTTTCTGTTGAAGGGGATGAGGAATCACGTGGGGTGGCCATGGGAGAGTAGCTTGGAGCGTCTGAGGAGGAAGCTAACTAGTTGGATCAGGTCTGACGAATTGATGGGAGAGGACGTCTTGGTAGCCATAGGCGATGGTGCAGCTATCGTAGAGATTAGTATGAGGGAGAAGGTGGGCAACGATGGTAGAGACCGGAGCTCTGGGCGTCTAGAAAGGTGAAGAGAGCGTTGTTGTTTTTTTTCTTTTGGGGAAGAAGGTTACGAGCGTATAGGGTTGTGGTGGTAGAGTCTATGTTGAAAAGTCTTGTTTGATCTCGGTCGTCCGATCATTTGATCGGACGGTTAATAAAATAAAGGGTTTAAAATAATTAGTTAATAATATATATATATATATATACATTATTATTATTACTATTATTATTATATATTAAAAGATGAATTAATTAAAGCTGTTGGATTAAAATAGAGGGCTGAGTTGAACACATGAATTGGCCGGTTTAAGGAGACTTGGATTCTCAAAATTGCTCAAATTAAATTCATTTAAATTATAACCCTTTCTTTATTAAATAGCCATAATTTGTTAAATTAAAAAAATAATTAATTTATAAGATTAGCTTATTTGATAAAATTGGTCATTTCTAAAAATAAAATTAATAGAAACTAGTAACTCATTAATTATTTAAGCTTTCCAAACTTTAAAAAAATGTTGAAAATATTTATCGCATTAATAGAAATTATATTTTATTGAAAAGTCGAGTTAACATTTAAAGAAAAATATTTATTTGATGTGAAATTAAAAAATGAGAAATTACGTAGTAATATTTATATAATATATTTAATTTTTATAAAAAACAGTATTTATGAAATAAATTTACCCAATAAACATATTTTTTAACAAAAATTTCATAACATAGATATATTTTATTTTTATTCTTATTATTGTTATTATTATTATTAAAAATTTAGTTAAATAAATGTGGAGAGCCAAAATTGGGTGTCAACACCCATTTCCAATTTCTTGAAGTTGGAACCTACAAATCTTTAATACTCAAGAATAATGTCTCCCAAAAAACTCTTAGAACTCAAATTAGAAACAAAATCTGAAAATAGATGTAAAAGCGGCAAAATTCGATACTAAGTTACAACTCTCAACGAGTATTTATAGTTTTTGACAATTTGTATTGCGAAGGATCACTTGGCGTAGTTAGTCGGGATCGTCGATCAACTCGGTGACCCGACCTTCAGTATATTTCATCGCCATCTTGTCTTTGCCTTCAACATCTTCGCGTTCTGTAACATTGGACGATATAGTAATGCTTCGCGGAACTATTCGGCGACACGTCGACTGCTCCTCTTCACCGTCGATTTGATCCTTTCCATCAAGGCTCAACACTCTGGAACATTAGACGAGATTAAGGTCATTCGGTGACTCACCTAATGGATTAGGCGATCTTCAGGCCTTCATTTCTTCGTTCTTTCACCTACCTTGTTCCTTTTTTATTAGTTGTGTCCATGCTTTGTCTCCAAGTCTAAATACCTGAAACTCAAGGTTTTTCATCGGTTATTGAGATAAAATATACATTTGAAGACACCAAATCTATCAATATAACACTAAATGAGTCCAAATCGTGGACTCATCAACGACCGTGTATAAGTTGAATTACAAATCATGTGTTTAAGCGTTATCAACGTGCAACAAATTGTTCGAATAATAATATAGTTGATTTATTCATCAAGTCTCTACTAGTTGCAACTTTCGACAACATGATGCACAAGATTGGAATGAGAAAATTCAAGTCTTTAAATTAATGTTTTTATTAGTGAAGCTTAATTAATATGCCTTGTACTCTGTTTCCCATATAAAGTTTTGTCATTGGAATTTTTGTAAGATCTTTAATGGGATCGCTTAAATGTGTATTGTTAGATTTTCTTTTCTTTCGTTAGAGTGTTTGCATTAACTTTTTTCTAACATTTGACATATAAAAGAAGTGTTATAGATGATAGTGTATGTCTATTTAGTTATAATAAAATGTTAGAAACCCTAACTTAAAAGATCCAATCAGTTTTGCTCCATAAATATGGCCTCATAAATTTCTATTAAGATTAAACCGTCTAAATCTGAATGCACATCTGAATATTAAGATATGCATTAATATCTAAATGTGTAAATCTGAATAAACATATGAATATTAAGATATTGTCTCTGAATCTGAATACTGAATTATTAAGACTGTTTTCAATATCTGAATATACATATAAAATAAAACGCTGTATCAAAATATTATAAAACCCATATTTTAGCAAAAATAATTTTTTTTTATAGAAAATAATATGCTGAACATTCTTATCGTAACAAGGTAATATGATTTATCTGTTAAGAATTTAACATTAAGTTACATCATTAATATAACTATTCTTTGCATTCAACAACTTTGACAGTCTAATATAATACAATGTAAAATAGTTTATATAGAGTAGTAATATAATGTTTAGGAAAATATTTTATTTTATAATGGACATTTGTTATTGTTATCAATCAAATAATTAATACTTTTTATTTTCTAGAACCGTGCTAAATATTATATCATGAAGTGTTTATCAATTAAATGTATTGATTAATTTATGAAAGTAAAATATGTATATTTAGTTCATAAGAATTAAGAAAATTATAACGGGTAAGCATGTAATTAAAATTAATTAAATAGAAAAAAATTATGAGTTGTTATGATGTAGTTGAATTAAGATATGAGTCTTATTTTTTAGTATGAATGGTGTTAAGAACATGTTGCAGACCTGATTCGTTCAGATGTATTCAGACCCACTAAGTACCTTCTAAGAAAATAAAACAAACAAACTTAATGAATTGAATCTAAATAATTAAGATTTAGTCATTGAAAACAAACACATTGAATAAGGTGAATATAATTGATTAAAATACAGACCCCATTAAATGCAAATAAATAAAGCCTAAATGACGTTAACAAATAATCACATAAATTTATTTTATATTTTTTCTTGGTTAATTACATCTTAGTCCTAAATAATTAAATGGTTTAAAGTTAAAAATAAATATTTTCAATTTTTTGCATATCTGCCTCTTGGATTTGATTATCTTTGTAAAATATAAATTGCATTTCATCCTTCTTTTTACCCTTTTCTTTTCCTTTTTATTTCTTCCTTACCATTTTCAAACCTCAAAAATCTCCACTCCCGCGTAAGAATACGATACGCTTCTTCTTTTGCCAAACTAACAATGGACGACTCATTAAGCAAATTCTGCAAAACCATGGCCGTTTTCTGTAACAATCTCGAAAACAGCTGCTACGCTCTCAAAGAGTCAGTGGATCGTCGCCCCATACCCCTTGGTATAGCTTACCTACAGTTTTACCTTCTTTTCTTTGTCTTCTTTCAAAATAAATCTGTACAGTCTAGCTTTGTACAGATTCAGCTTCGACGACCTTTGTACAAAGCCTGAACCAGAGAGTAATGTCACTAAGCGGTAACCTCAATGTGCTGGAGTCCATGTCTTGTGGAACGGTGTCGTTCGAGGAGCTGCTGGGCCATTGCAATGAAGTTTTCAAGAAGAACCAAACTGATCTTCTGTCCCTTCAGGACCGTCTCCATAATCTTGGCTACATTGCTTCTGGTAAGTAAAATCAATCAATCAATGTTATGGCTGTTATTATCATTCCATTGCTACTTTGCTTATAAAGTTTTTGCCCTGGCAAATTAGAGATCTAAAACTAGAGGTTTTGTCAATTTCACACTGGTTGAAGCCGGACCTTTTTTGTTTTTTTGGTTATTTCCTTAGTCAAGTCTACATTGATTATGAGTGATTTAGGTCTTTTGAGTGTCACATGACCATTTTGAATGTCCTGCTAAGTTTTCCATTAAATCTACAAAAGATTTTAACATTGGGATATGCTCATTGGAGCTAGTACTACTCTGTTATAATTATTTTAAATGTTTTATCTTGTAGTTTTCTCTTTCAGAAAACAAATACATTGTTTTTTTTTGGTGTAAGTGCTGTATTCCTGTCTACGTTTTTGAATTGGGCACATAGGTGTGCCGAAGTTCGACCTCTTTTGAAATCTTTAAAAAAAAATAGAACTGGATCATGTGACAAATAACCATGTTTTAGCTTTACATGATGGACAGAAAAATGGTTCCAAGCTCCCACAAGCCCAAGGGAGGAAAAAGCTCTAAATTCAATCTTGTAGTGAGATAGGAATTATTACATATTGAAGGGTCAATTTTTGGGTTGTAACCTGTAAATACATGAAATTGCTACAAGATTGACTCTTGAAGGTCAATAAATCTGGTAATTTCACAGTATGAACATTTTCATACTTAATTTCCATGTGAGTTAATTTTAGAAATAATTGTATCAAGGAATTTTAAAATTTTATGTTCGGGAATTTCCATAGAGCTAGTATCAGGTTTCGGTAGTCTGTACCATCTTTATCAATGTGTTGCCTGGTGACAAATCACCAACTCAGGAGTCATTAAGCCTCGATCGTTGTACATTAAACATGTTAAATTGTCATATTGGGGAACATTAGAAATTCTGGTTATCGTTTGACATTCTGCCTTTCGCTTTGAATGATTAATCATCTCATTTTGTGTAGTAATTGCTTATTGCCTGGTTTGCTATTTTCCTTGCTCCACAAGTCAATCTTATTGGTGAAGATAGTGAAGGAGAAGAAGAGGACCCTAATGTTTCAGAAGATTTATCTTATGACTGCAGCTTAGACTTCAAGAAAATTGAAGATGATCCTTTGTATCCTTTATGAATGTTTTATCTAATCAAACACAAATGTTGTACTTGAATCCTTCTAAACTTTTATGCTCTTAGCATAATAACAATAGTGGATATTTTTACTTGGTGAACTCAGTGCAGGTCCATGTTCAACATGGCTTTCCTCTGCCAAGAAAATTAGGTGTTTTGCTTATTTTCATTTTTCCTGAAAAAAATGAAGCGAAATAATGTGACGAAGAAAGAGTTGTGGCACCATCAACTTGCATCCGATTATATTTTGAATGATTACTAAGAAGTTGAGGTGTGTGACCTTTCCCCGGACTATGTGTGAACCAGGGATGCTTCGTACACTGGGCTTCCCTTTTAAGGAGATTTTTATGAGTGCTTCTTAACATTTTTAGGCTGGATGATACTCTGAATTTGCAGAACCTTGGTCTCTCTGATGTTTGCCTAGCTACCATAGCATCTGAAGGTGAGTTTTAAACTCAGGAATCAAATTGCCATATCTTGATGGGATATTAAGAAAAAAATTCGAGGTGTGCATTGACTTGTAGATATATATTACATGTGTTGTCTTCAACGCCAAGGGGCATCGCCAAGATGTATCTGGACATAATTGTAAAAACTATTTCCCCATTTTCTTTCAAACACTTTAGATTTGTGCAGAGGAAGAAAGTTTCTTTGATGCCTTTGCTCTATTTTTGTTTTTTTTATGATAATTTTTTACTTGAGATATTTTCTTTTGTCTCTTTGGTATTTTTTGTTTGCAGCAAATACTATATATGAGAAAGAGGGATGCTATCTATCCACCGAAAAGAAACAGGATAGTAGAGATGGTACAAAATTCACATTCCGCATCATTAACTTTGTAAAATTAGTATAACATGGTGTCTAAGATGTGTTTCTTGCTTTTCTGAACATAGGGAAAATGAACGAGGAATTGAAGTCATCTGAAGATATTCAGTCACTGATAACTGTGTCAGAAGATGATTATGAAAACCTCCCCAAACATATGAAGAATTTAGCTTCATGGCAGGTGTGGTTTCTGTATTGGTGATCTCAGTTACTTGACAGACTTTTTCTAAGAAAAAAAGAGCTTAAGAGTAGAAAATGAGAAGACCAAGGAATATTTTCAGTTTATGAATTTAATTGTATTTAGCCATATTTCCTTTTTAAGATTTTTGTTCTTTTCATCCAGTAAACTGTGGATTAAGCACTAGGCAGCCCCAAGTATAAATTTTTGATTTTGGTCTTTTAAATTTTTTCTTCACTTTAATGAGGCAAGCACTTTTCTTCACGCTTCAATTGAACTGTGGAGCGGGGTCTTGTCATTTTTTTCCGTTTTGCGCTTCCATAAACACAATGATAAGCATATTTTGGGAAACAATTAGGTTAGTTGGGCTTATCTTGAGTCCAATGGAAGAAGTGGTGAAATAATCCTTTTTATGAAACAGAAGAGCTGTGGAAGGTGAGGTTCTCAACTTTGGGACACAAAGTATTGCATGCAAATTCACTTTAGTGACCTAAAACTACACTTGGCATATCATAGGGGTTTATGCCTCAAATTATAAAATTGGTAGGAAACAGTTGTGGTGGGAACTTGTTGTCTCCATAAGAGTGTGTTCATGACCATGAGTTGTTTATGACGACTTTAACATCACAAGACTTGTTAGTGAAATAAGGGATGATACTGAAAATAATAGAGTTATGCAAATTATCTAACTTAATAGTAGAATTAAAACTGGTTGATTTGATGAGACACAAGATGGAGTTAATGATAGGCTGGATGTTTGGAGACAAACCATGGAGTCAAAAATGTTTAGGTTGAGCAAGACTAAGACAAAGTACTTGGAGTGCGAATTCAGTGACGTAACTCATGAGGCAAATTGGGATGTGAAGATTGATACATAATTCATCTCCAAGAGAGGAAATTTCTTGTACCATGGGTTAATTATCCAAGGAAATGGGGAGATTAACAACGATGATACACATCGTATTAGAGCAGAGTGGATGAAATAGAACCTCACATCTAGTGTTATTGATAGGATTGTGCCACCAAGACTTACTGTAAGTTTTATAAAGTGATTGTTAAACCAACTATGTTATATGGGGGCAGAGTGTTTGTCAGTCATGTCCATCCAAAAGATGCGAGTAGCGGAAATGATGTTGTTAAGATGGATGTGTAGACACACTAGGAGAGATAGGGTTGGGAACAAAGATATTGAGGATAAGGTAGAAGTGGCCTCCATGGTGGACAAGATGAGGGAGGCGAGGCTGAGATAGTTCGGAGATGCCTAGATGCGTATTGAGGAGGTGTGAGAGGTTAGGTATGGTTGATCTAAGGAGAGGTAAAGGTCAGCTGAAGAGGCATTGGAGAGAGGTAATTATATAGGATATGACACACCTACAACTTACCAAGGACATAACCCCTAGTAAAAGAATATAGAAGTCAATGATTAGGGTAGAAGGTTAGTAGGTAGTTGAGCCTTGTCTTATTTTCATTATCAGTATTATTAGTAATATTGCTGTCCTACTATCTCTTTGATTATATTTGTACTTGTTCTTTCCTTTGTTTTGGTTATCGTATTATTTGTTGTTGCTACGGTTCTTTCTTCCATCATTTTATACATGACTTCTTCACTACTGTATCTCCTCTTTTTAGTGATTCTGATATGTTTTACTTGAGTCAAGTTTTATTGGAAACAGCCTCTCTACCTTTGCAAGGTAGGGGTAAGGCTGCATACACCACCCTTCCAAGATCTCAATTGTGGCATTACACTGTATATGTTATTGTTGTTGGAACTGGTTGATCTTCGTTTGGTGGTGGTATAGGGAGAACAATCATGTAGCTGCATCGAGACTTGATAGATTTCTTGTTTCAACTAAATGGGATGTGGAGTTCAATAACATCACACAACCCTGCTACTTTGAACTGTCTGGTCATATCCCAATTTTGTTACAATGGGGGGATGGGGTGAGCAGGAAGGCCTATTTCAAATTCCTGACCCTGTAGCTTGAGACAAAGGGCTTTGGCAGAAAGTCAAGGTGGTTGGAGGCTGACTGGATTATATACTGGCAATGAAGTTAACACTGTTTAAAGCTAAACAGAAGGAATTTAATTCTAATAATTATATCCAAGAGAAGAAAAAGAAAGACATGTTAGATCAAGTATTACAAATCGACAAGATTCAGGAGTAAAGGAACCTTAATGATGATGAACTCCTTACCAAAGCTAACTTGGAGATGAAGTTTGAGGAAGAGAAATATCTTGGAGGCAAGTTTTATGTTTAAAGCAAAGGAGATAAGAATACAAAAGATTTTCAAAGAATGACAAATGCGCGTAGAAGGTTAGTAATCTATATGAGCTGCTAGTTAATGTAGAAGAGATCACTGATCTAGAGGGAATTTTATGGAGTTCTATCAGAAGCTTTGTAATTAAATAGATGTATTGAGGCCTTACTTTACTCACTCGCTCCATTTCAATTCGTTATCTTACTTTCCTTCTTTGGGAATCTCAAATTGGCTACCACGAACCCAAAAACTCTTGCGAGGTCCAAAAGTGAGACTCCTCCTCAGTTCCTGTCCCCGAAACATTTGGAACTGTTCCAGGATACATTGATACTGAAGATTCCCTGGAATGGAAGTAGCCAACATCAAGATGTTTATAATGAAGTCATCACATGCTGTATTCGCAGATAATGGTCAGTTGGACAACAATTAGCCTTGGAAACAGATCTGGAAAACTGAAGCTCCCTTCAAGGTTGCTTGCTTTGATTGGTTTGTGTCTAGACAGGCTTGCTTAACTCAGAATAGCTTAAAGAGGAGGAATTAGTATGACTTCCAGGTGCTACTTATGTTACGCAGATGCTGAAATAATATTCATCTATTTTGTATTGTGGATTTACTAGCCAGGTGGCAATTATTTCTTAACATGATTGGCCTTAGATGGACTATGCCTAAGTCCACTGTTGAGCTTCTGATGTGTTGGCACAATCAGGGTAGCAATGTAAGATAGAAGAACTGTTAAAATATGATTCCAGCTTGTATTTGGTGGATAGCACTGAAAGAAAAAAAATGTTAGGTGCTTTAAGATAGGTGAAACGCGATTCAGAAGATAAAAAGCTGAATTGTGTAATATTTATCACTTTTGGTGTAAGTAAGTTTTTGAAACTAGAATCCTTGTATGAAGAACAAGGATAGGTTTTTATACGTTTTTCAGGAATTTGGTACCAGCATAGCTTCGTGTTGAAGATTAATATAACTGTTACTTTTCTTAAAAAATAAAAATAATGGGCCAGAATGTTACATGCTAAGTTAAATCTTAGATACTGAATTGATACTAATGTCACTAATTGGTTGCCATTAAACTTTTTTCTTGTGTTGTATTCTTAGCTATTAGAGTGTTTTTGGGACACTTAACTATATCTGAACTTCAATATAATCTGTGATGTTCCATTTGGAGTAATGCCGTTCCAGTTTCTAGACATTCAGAAAGAAATATCTACTTTCAGAAGTTATCCTACTGCTGTAAGACTTGTAGAAGATGATAAATTCTTATTTCTAAGTTGATGTGCTTGTTATTCACCTTGAACAGCGAAATGTTTTCTGGAGTGCTGTAATGCTTTTCTACCTCTTCTTTCCTTTGTTCCATTTTATCATTCTTGTTCCCTTGCATACGTATTATATGGCTTCCGCTCATACACTAAAGTTCTGAAATACTTTTATAGGAGTTAGTTGTTGCTGTTGAGAAGATGAACTCATTCCTTGACACAAAAAAGACCAGGCCATACTCCTTCCAGCAAGCTGAAATTGTGGAATTAGGATTAGGTATGTGTTTTTCACTTTGTTCCCTTTTCATTTTGTATTTGTGTATATGTTAATTGTAGACATGGAAGTGCAGTTGTTATTAAATGAAGATCTCCATTCTAGAGCATTAGTTAATTATTCTACATAATTTTAGTGGTTCCAAAAACTGACACCAAAATTATGTAGAGCAATTAACTAATATACTAGAGTGGAGATGATCTCTATCAGACTTACGAATGTAGTGGACGAGACTATTTCTACTTCACAGAATGATCTTGTGGAGTAGACAGATTTTGGATGTGGCATTTGTGGCAAACGAAGTGGTGGTTCAAGGAGAAAGTAAGGAGTGCCAAGTGTGTTGTGCATTTGATCTTGAAAAGGCCTACAATCATATGAATTGGAGGTTCCTAGAGTCTATTATGCTATAAATGGGATTTGGCAAGAAGGAGAGGACATGGATTTACGTTTACCTAAATTTTGAATTGTAGAGTTAGGGCCCTTTCGACTACCTATCTTGGAGTACCATTAGGTGCATCGAACAAAAATCAAATGGTGCAGAATCTGGTTCTTCAGAAGGTTGACAAGAGTCCAGCAAGATGGCAGAAAATATGTCCAAGGGTGGGAAGCAAGTGCTTATTTAGATCACTCTCGAGCGTTCCCACTTACTACATGTCCTTGTTTCTTGCTAAATATCGCTCACTGAAAAGCTGGAAAAGATGTAGAGAAATTTCCTATGGGATGCGCTGGCTGGGGCAATGAAGTTCCACTTGGTGCTGTGGGATACCATCACATCTCCTAAAAAATGAGGTCTTGGAGTTTGAGATTTAAAGGGTTTTAATAAAGCTTTACTGAGCAAAGGACTTCGGAGATTCAGGTTGGAGGTACAAGCGTTGTGATTGTGTTTGGGGTGGGGGGGGAGGGGTGATAACTGGTAAATATGGGGTTATGGAAGGAAGGAGGGTGTGGAGCACTAGAAGTATCACTTTGCCTTTCGGTTGTGGTTTGTGGAGCAATATCTTGAAGGGGTAGGATGTTTTTTGGGATAACATCTCATTCAAGGTTGCAACAAGAGGAGAGTAAAGTTTAAGGGCCATAAATGGTGTGGGGACTTAGTTTTAAGGGTGAATTTTAGAGTTTGTACAAAATATCTTTTCAAAGAAACTGGACAGTTAAACAAATTAGGGGGACACAAGGTGGAAAAACTTTTGGATTTGAGATGTAGAATCAAATTCCACAATGGGGAAGTGGCTAATATTTAAGATCCAGACCTTAGGATTTCACTACTTTGCTAGTTTCATGATGAATATATGTGGATTTTCGTACTGAAATATTCTTTTGAGTTTTGACAACTGAGGAAGTTATTTGCACCATTGGGTGTAGTGTCTAGAAAACCATAAGACTGTGTCCCCAGTTCAGCAATAACATCTTTATCACCATGGGTAATGGTTTATAACTGACTTTTGCAATGAGGTGTGGATTGGAGAAGATAGTCTTAGAAACTCATTTCCACACTGGAATGCCAAGGTATCCCAAGTTTGGAGTCAACAAGGTTGGGACCTCTTATTTAGAAGAGCATTTAATGACTGGAAATTGGAGAAGTTGCCAATTTAATCGAAGTTCTCAACTCACATCCAGCATCTGTGAGACATGACAAACCTAGATGGAAACTACACAACAAGGGGGTATTCATAGTGAAATCATGTTATTAGAATCTTAACACACTACGATCTAGACAGATGGCCTTGGAAGCTAGTTTGGAAGACCAAATGTCCTCCAAAGGTGGCTTGTTTTACTTGGTTGGTTTTGAAAGGCATGCCTAACTCATGAGGCCTTACCGAAAAGGGGCTGGCAAATTTGCTCAAGATGTGTCATGTGTGAGCATGAAGAAGAACTTAATGATCATGTATTCCTTCACTGTATAGCCTATGGAATATGTTTTTTTTAGGTGTTAAGTGGGTGATGCCTAACACGACAATGGAACTCCTAAGTAGTTGGAAAGGCATTGGCAACAAAGGAAGAAAAGAATTTTGGTGGAGAACTATCCCAGCATGCATATGGTAGACTCTTTGGTAAGAAAGGAACTCAAGATGCTTTGATGGACAAAAAACTTAAAGAAAATTAGAATGAATTGTATAAGCCTTTTGATTTTTTGGTGTATACAAAATCTGATAAGGGAGATAGTAGAATTAGTTGATTTTATAGGAAATTAGTAAAGAATACCCTGTGGGATGTAACTTGTAAGTTTCCAATTCATCTTTCTTTGGATGATGAATCTTTTGGTGTGAATATATGGTTACCCTTTTCTCAAACAAATATTGTTTTGAGTTTGTAAAGATATGACACTCAGACCTAACTCAACCTCCAAAATTAGCTCATGAGGGGAGGTTTTCCAAGTCCATATAATGAGACCAAATTTCCATTCCTCTACTGATGTGGGATTCTTAACACTCCTCTGCACGCCCATACCTCAACTAGAGTGTGAACGCTTCTAAATATGGGCCCAACATTGCTAAACAACAAATTGAGATGGACGTGACTTTGATACCATGATGAAGTTTGTGACCATCTCATCTAAAAAGATATGGTGCCTGGGCCTAACTTAATCCCAAAAACTAGCTCTCATGAGGGGAGACTTGTTCAAGTCCAAAATGTGGTTGCTAGATTTAGTAGGCGTTTAGCCATGTGATACCATATCACGATATGATATCGTGAGATAGAATTAACGTTTGGATATGCGATTTTACGCTGATTCCATATCATTAGATGTGATATCATATTCTCCAAAAACCATGATATGAAATCATATGGGAATACCATATCATGATTTGAGTTATTCTAGTACCAAAATTGATCCACTAGTTTATATTTTGTTAAAACAACCCCACATTTATATCTACTAACCATTTATTTCACATGTAAATAAAATTTATAATCACATCATTACTTTTAAAAATTTATTATTCTGACCAACGTATAGTCACTTTAACCCACTGTTGAGTAATAAAATCTAGAAGAGCCCATGAGAGGTGTTTCATTTTTACTCAAATATATTTATGAAACAATTACGTAAGTGGAGAACAAATAACTTTGTAATAATTTATTATACGATTTTATGATATTTTGTTTATTTGATGATATTGTATAAACTATTGGGGCTATTTTATTAGTTTTAGAACTTATGAGATTTTTATGTTTATGTGAAAATATACAACACCAATATTCCATATCGCATGTCCAAACAACAAAACTTCAATTTCATCTCATAATTCCATTTCATGATACCATATCGAATGACCAAACGGGCCCTTAGTATAGAAGCTAAATATTGGGCTTATGTGTGGACAGTGAACTCATATGGATCAAGCAACTGTTGTAGGAGTTGAATTTTGGAGGTACTAAAGATGGAACTTGTGTGTGATAATGAAGCTATTCTTAACATTGCGTCAAATCCAATATTTCACGAGAGGACCAAACACATCGAAATTGAGTGTTATTTCGTTAGAGAAACTGTATTCTCAGGAAGCATCTTCACAAGGTTCGTGCGGTCAAGTGATCAATCTGTAGACATTTTTACCAAGTCCCTAGCCGGTCCCAGAACAAGTTATACATGTAACAGGCTTAGTACATATAATTTGTATACACTAGCTTGCCGGGGGGTGGGGTGTTAGAATCATATGAACGTTCTATAGCATATGTGTAAATATAATTTAATCCTATTTTAATTAGGTATTGATTTGTATCGATTTCTTTTCCTTTTTAGGACATGTAAACTTGCCTATTTAGACTCCAATAGCTTGTTGGAATAATCAAGCTGAATTCTCTCTCAAACTCTTGTCTTGTCACAACATCTTAACAATATCCTCCAGTATCGTTATGTAAGACATCTAATAATATCCTCCCGTGCCTTTATTTCTCACAAATCCGTTTCTGGAGAAGGATATGGCTTGGGATTATCTTTTGGCAGTTCTGGTGTTTACTGGCTTGCCTAGAACACTAAGACTGGGATTTCAGCATTTTCATGATATGTCATAAACTGAGTTCTGCTTGGGGTACTGTGAGTGAGAACTCTTGAATTTGGAATCAATGGGACCACAAAAGAGATCGAGCTGGCAGTATGAGTGGGATAATGTCTTACTGTGAGTCTGTGAGTGATTCCATGGTACAGCTTGATCCTTCTTTGCAGGGTGGCTTCTAAGTGTTTGGAAGTTAGTGATTATGATCACTCAATCACAAAGTGATCTTCACAATAAAGTTATCAATATGCTTTTGAAGTATGGTAGTAGGACAAGCTCCTTTAAATTTCTTTATATATGCGAGATGAAGACGTGAATTTGTGGCATTTGATGGTAAATGGTTATGCATTGAAGTGATTGGGAGTCCATGATTTGGATTTTGTATGTTCAGATGAGGGAGCTGCATTTGAGCCCACAAAAGGAAAGTTTTCTTGAAGATCTTGGGTTTGTGCCTTTCATGAAACTCCATAGCTATTTGAGCTTGAGTGGTCTGTCTATCTATTTGTTTCTTTGTGGTGGGACTAGAGCTATCTCCAAGAACCTGACCAAACAGTCTGCATATCCATTAACTGGCAATTCAATACAAGAAATATCTTTGAGCATGCCCTTATTGATGTTTGCACGTTGTAGAAGTTAGCAGTCTATGAGAGTTTTACCGGGGATTCGAACCAACTTTTCTGTTTGCTGCTGTAACTAATGCTGAGCAAAGGGAAAAAAGCATGACCATCAAGTTCAGAGTTTATTCTCTCAACAGTTTTCTTCCTCTCTTGTTGATCCAAGTTCAGCTCCTCTGAATTGCAAGGCTCTTATTGTGTTACTTAAGGCACACAAGAAGAAGACCGAACCAACAAAATCTTGTGGTTTCAAGTGTGTAATGCTTGCAAAGAGATGGAAGTGTTTGATCCAGAAATGCCTGTCCATGACTTTGCGCTAAAGGTTAGTGTTAAGGGTAACATACCTGTTGAAAATTCAATAGTTGGAATGTATAGGAATGTTAGAAATGTGGGTGATTGTGAGAGCAAATTTCATGATACAGAGAGCAATAAGATCACTTGGAATATAGCAACTGGTAATGCATGTGGAACAATTAAAATATATATGCCTATATATGAAGAAAAAAGTGAGAATTTGAACTGGGAAGATTGGATCTCAGAGCTCATTCCAATTTGAACCAAAAGGATAACAGGAACCATGCATTTCCTTCAAATATGCTCGAGGCTACTGGAATTGACATGGCTTTGTCAGAAGTACCAGATTTATAAGTTATACTAGGAGTTCAAATTGGTCTTATTGGTGATAAGAACATTGTGAAGCCAACAATTCAGGAAATGGAGAACTTACAGTTGGATTTGTTATTTGCAGAGACCAGAATGCAACATTAATGGTTGAAGGGTATTGTGATTTTCTTCTCGAGGACAAGTTGGTTGAAGCTACAGATGTAGGGCAGAATGCTGTGCGGGTATTTTGAAGGTGGAAACTTTAATGCATAAATGCGGAAGGACAAAATGCTCGATGCCGTCAAGCTATCTCCAAAAAAGCTATATGAGCTACTCAGAAAAGTTGCAGGCGAGGAGTTAGTGGAAGTGCTGCAAATTGAAAATAAGATTCCAAGAAGAAAGGCCCAATTATTATTGGAAGAAAGTATTAAAAGCATACTGTCAGAGGGATTATATCAGTAAAATGCAAGGTTTTGGGTTTACTGGAACGATTTGTAGTTTCTAGAGAATGGTGCTGGCATTAAATAAAAGAAGAGACAAGAATCAATTAGGAAAATGCTCTTGTTTACAGCTTGCAAGATTGATTCAAAGGCACAACAGCTATATTTGGTGACTTCACAATTTCCACTTGATTCTGGCAGTGTTAGGTCTTTCATTTTCACACTATCACACTCTTGAGGACAAGGGTCTGAATCTGATATGATATAAATTTCTAGCATGTAACTGACTCACGTGAATAAGCTCATTTAAGCAAAATTACTTGTGGCTTAGCTTTGCAGTGCATTTTAGCTTTTCTAATAAGATGTTTTCCTTTTATGGTAATCATGTTTTTGCAGAAATATAGCCATAGTGTAGCTTAGCTCTTAAACTTTGTTTTCCCTTCCCTGCAGTACTTCTCTTACCTTCAGTGAGCTGTCATTCACATGCAGTTAATTAGCTTCTATTATATATAAGTCATTGCATATTGTCATATTGAGCTGGCTTGTACTTGTGTGAAAGTATGTGTGCTATTTTTAACCGATGTTTACCACACTTGAATATTTATTCACAAGGAAATGGAAAGAACCAATAGTTGTGCCCTGTCCAGTGAAATGAGTTTATTTGTTTTTTTTCGTTAGATTTATAAGTAGGCATAGAGTGACTGGTTGTTTATTGATGCAGGGCATAAGGCTAGATCCTATCTGCTGCTGCTTATAAGAATGAGTCGAGTAATAGTGGAGACAACTGGTGGTTTGATTTGTTATAGAATCTTATAGTGTATAATGAATGAGTGCAGAGATAAAAACAGTATTGACATTAACGTGTTAGCAATATTTAGCTGAAGTTAATGGTTAAATGTTTGTATTACGTTGTTCGAAATTCTCCTGTATTTTTTAACTCTACTGCACGGGTAGTGTCACATTGATATTTTATCAACTTCTTACTATCTCTTACCAGCTCAGACATTAGGCAAGTGAAAATAACATTTTCACTGATTACAGGTAATTACGTTGATTTTTCTGGCTAAGCAGTTGCTTTTTGTTGAATGTTAAATTGACTGGGGTTACATTTTAAATTGGTGTTAAAACATTTTGACTTTTTCCTTATTTTTCTCATAGTTATAGCTTAAAAGAGAGTGAGAAACTTAAGATAATCATTATAATATTAGTTTTATGAGTATTTTACCATGAAATGTATTTTCTTATTTTTCTCATGGTTATAACTTTTTTTCTTACTATTCCCTTCTTTAATTCTTCCTTCTTTAAAAATTAGCTGCATTTTTTTTGATGAAACTCTACCATCTTTCGTGTTGCCATTTTTTGTCACAATATTCTTTTACTATCATTTCTTTAGAGGTCATTTTGTTTGAATACAAGTTATGATGAGATAAGTTGTGCTGATTTTATTTTTTATTAGTTGTTTGATTTATTTGTACTAAATATAATATTTATTAAATATTTGCTAAAGCAAGTTGTTTGTTTACAAAAACACCAACTATCTTATTTAACTATTTGAATATTTTTTATTAGAGCTTTAGTTAACTTTCCAGATATTTCAAATTTTTTTGTTTTTTGTTTTTGTTTCTTCCGTACTGTTAGCTTTGTAGGAATTTGGTTGTAGTTGTCTTTATTAAGTCAATAAAAAGCCTGACCCATGTGGTCATATATATTTTTTTTAAAAAAAAAATCAATCTTAAAAACAAAACATCCATCTTTTTTATCTTAATTTTTTTTATGTATGTGCCAATTTTGGAGACGTGAGTACTCCACTCTAAAAATCCAAACCTAATTAAGTATTTCAAGTTTAATTAAGTTGTATTAGTATCAAGTTGTTTAGACTAGAAATTAATTAATTATGCTACAAATAATTTGTTGTGGTAGTAGAAATTAACTGAGATGTGACCAAACCACATTAACTAGTATGAGTTCTCATCATTTTCATATTTGAACTGCACTTTGGTGTCCCAACAACTTGGACCAAATGAAAAATCACGGACATTAAACTTGAAGCCACCAATTTTATTGCTTATTGGGCATCAAGGTGTAAGTATAATATGAAGATACTATTGAACTTTTTTACATTTCGAATAATTTTATAAACTCATTAGATTTCAAGATGATTAGAATTCGGAATTAGAATTCGAATTCTTACAATTTTGAACAATTTATTGATTCTTTTCAAAATTATCTCTTAAAGTTATATAAAAATAAATCAACTGATGATATTTTTAAACTTTGAATTTGCTCAAAGAACAATAATTTTTTGCTATCAACAACCCAGCACAATTAATGAAAACAACTATAAAAGAAGAAGAAGAGTAAAGAAATTGGGGGAAAGGGTTTGCAGAACGTAGAGGGGTGGGGTGGGGGTGAAAGGGAGGTGTACAAATTAAAAAAAAGGATAAAAATAATTCAAAAAGTGAAGGAAAAAAAAGAAAAATAGAAGGAAGAAAATCTATGTTTTTAATTTAATTAATACGTGTCAAACATTGTTCGATGGGTGATTATGCAAACGACCCTCAAAATGAACTAGGTTGGGCTAGATCTTCACTTGTATTTTAAGGGTTGTTAACTAGCTTATTTAATGTGTTAATGAGTATTGAAGTTAGTCTAGTTGAGTTTGAAGACAAACGTCAAGGAACGACCAAGACGTTCGATGACTAGTCATCTATGTGCTTGCATGTGTTCTAGTATGTCTTTGCATGTTGCATGAGTTGTTTGGTGAGTAAATTGATTGAGGAGATCCTAAGACCTAGATGAGCATGTTTAGGAGTTTAATGTCCGGGTACGACTCAACATGGGACACACGAGGGGCCCTAGAGGAGGACCCCATTTTCTAGCCTCGAAGCTGCCAGGCAACCTCCTTGGCAGTGTCAAACGACGAACCAAACGATGGCTCGTCGACATGGTCCGTTGATTGGACCTGCAGGCGTGCACATTTTTGAGCTGCAGACCCAAACCACAAACCCCCATTGACGGGACATTGTCCAAATGAAGGTCTGTCATTGTAAGGCGTTGTTTGGGGGTGTGTTTTGATAAATTCATCACAAGTCTTTTAAACTGTGAGGACGATTATTTTAGGGTTAGTTGGGTATTTTAAGAGTATTAACGTGATTAAA